CTCCCAAGTAGCTGGGACTATAGGCGCCTGCCACAATGCCCGGCTATTTTTTTGTTGCAGTTGTCATTTTTGTTTAGCAGGCCCAGGCCAGGCTCGAACCCTGCAGCTTCAGTGTATATGGCAAGCGCCCTATTCACAGGCTCTATTTTCTGTCTCTTGAGTAGTAGGGTGGCCTGAACAGGGGTGGGAGCTTTATGGTTGAGTCAGGGAGGCCGGGCCAAAATATAAAATCCCAGGAACCAGAACCTCATGCTCATCCCCTGTCCAGGTGTTCCGTTTGGAGGACTCGTGCTGTCTCTTCACCCTGCAGGGCCACTCGGGGGCCATCACAACTGTGTACATTGACCAGGTCAGAGACCCAGGGGGGTGACTCCTGGAAGCTTACCCCCATTCATGAGGGCACAGGGACAGCCTTGTCAATAAGGCACTCCACCACAGTGACCTTATTCCTCTGGACTTGTTTCCCCAGACCATGGTGCTGGCCAGTGGAGGACAAGATGGGGCCATCTGCCTGTGGGATGTGCTGACTGGCAGCCGGGTCAGCCACATGTTTGCTCACCGTGGGGATGTCACTTCCCTCACCTGTACCACCTCTTGCGTCATTAGCAGTGGGCTGGATGACCTCATCAGCATTTGGGACCGCAGCACAGGCATTAAGTTTTACTCCATTCAGCAGGTAGGAAGGTGAGGGCAGGGTAGTGTCAAAATTCTTGACATTTCAGGGAAGGTCTCAAGACACTGAACTTGTAATATCCTTGCTTTCAGGACCTGGGCTGTGGTGCGAGCTTAGGTGTCATTTCAGACAACCTGCTGGTGACTGGTGGCCAGGGCTGTGTCTCCTTCTGGGACCTAAACTACGGGGACCTGTTACAGACAGTCTACCTAGGGAAAAACAGTGAGGCCCAGCCTGCCCGCCAGATCCTGGTGCTGGACAATGCTGCCATTGTCTGCAACTTTGGCAGTGAGCTCAGCCTGGTGTACGTACCCTCTGTGCTAGAGAAGCTGGACTGAGGGTGGGCAGCAGCAGAGATCTCGCTGGCTGTACCACAGGGGCTGTACGGGGCCACTACACTGGACCTAGAATGACTGGACCTAGAGTGGGGGGATGAGCTAAGTGTCTTCTGGCAGCTGCTTCTGAACTGTTCTGCCTTCTGACTGTAATAATATTAAAATTTTTTTTTTAAATCACAGCTGCCAGGGGCCTTGTTTCTAGTGTTTTTCCTGTGTTATATCCTCTTTGCGCCTAGACCAGGGGTCCTCAAACTTTTTAAACAGGGGCCAGTTCACTGTCCCTCAAACCGTTGCAGGGCCAGACTGTGGGCCCCAGGACGCGTTGGGCTGCTAAGCAGGACAGGCAGCAGCGGCAAAAATACCAGGCGGGCCAGATAAATGTCCTAGGCAGGCTGCAGTTTGAGGGCACCTGGCCTAGACCCTTCTGGAGGGGGACCAGTAAGCCAGAACTGTGTGTGAAAAGTGAGGATAGTCCTACCATCCATGGAGGGTGCCAAAGCCTCCGGTAGTGCTACTGAGACTCAGGGAGGCAACCATGGGCAGACACTGGCCACAGAACAGGTTTGTTTATTATTTCAGTAGCAAAGAGCTGAAAAACATCAGGTCCCACAAAGGAGGGGAACCTGACCCAAGGCCCGCAGTGCATTTCCTACCCCACAGGGGTTTGGGCTGGGCCAGGCAGGGGAAATAGGAATAAGAGAGTGCCTATCCAGAGAGGCCCTGCTGGGCAAGAGCAGGTGGCCAGAGATGATGTAGTGTAAAAACAGGCAGGCAAAGCCTGTTCAGGTCTTGTTGAGTGTCCAGAGTGGATCCAGAAGGCTAAGGGGGTCATCAGTGGGCCGGGCAGCCCTCAAACCCTGCCCATTATGGGCCTGCAGAAAGTTCTGCTTGCTCATCCGCTGCTTTCCCCGCAAGGAACTGTCCAGGGAGAAGGCCTCTGGGGTCAAGGAGGCCAACAGCTCGAGGGAGGAGGAGGGGGGCCCCAAGTTGGGGGCTTCAGGCACTGGCTGCTCTTCCTCTGGCTGGGGGACCTCAGGCAGGGGTGAGGAGAGAGGAGGTGGGGAGGAAGATGGGACTGGGGTAGGCTCTGGAAGGCTGGCTGGAGGTAGGCCTGGGGGCTCTATGGGGCCTGGCTGGCTGGCAGCAGGAGAATCCAAGCCCCCAGGAGGCCGGATGCTAAGCTTAGCAATGGTGGCCTGGATGGAGCTAATAGGCACATCCCCACCAAGGACGAGGTCCTGGGAATCCTGAGGAAGGTGATTCTGAGAAGACAAAGTAGATAAGGAGGAGGTAACCCCTCGTGGCAGGGTTAGCCCAGCAGCTTCCGGGGAACCTCCCTCACCTTCTGGCTGAGGCTTGTGCTGCTGGCCACAGGCTTGCATGGAGGGGGCACACCATGGCGCTGCAGGACCTGCTCCACATGTCTCACCACGGCCTCATGGCAGAACTTGAGGTGCAGCTGAAGAGGTATATTTGGCCTGGTCAGCTGGGAAGGGGCCTGTCACCCCAAGGGAGAAAGTGCCCCAGTTCCCACCTGCCCAGACCCTCACTTTCTCTTGCAGCATGTGCTTCCTCTGCTGCCGCATGCGCCGCACCAGCTGAGGCAACTCAGGGATCCCATTGCCTGCCTCCACCTCCTGCACAGCTGCGTAGAGCAACGCAAAGGCCCCTGTGCGGCCCACACCAGAGCTGTGGTAAGAAGAGCATGTGAGGCCAGGCTCAGAGCCTGCAAAAGAGGAACCCCGGGCAGATGCCCTCCCCTACCTGCAGTGCACAACAATGGGTGTGTGCAGGGGCCGCTGGTGCAGGTAATGCGTGTGTACCTCCTGGATGAAGCGCAACAAGTTGCTGGGGCTGTCAGGCAGGCCTCTGCAGGGTAGGGTAGAGCAGGGCCTATGAGTAAGGCCTAATCTGAAGCCCTTATACCTCCCTGTAACAAGGACTGCCCCCAACCCATCCATCCAGTGGGGTGACGCACAACTCAGGCCAAGTGGTGAAGTGGAGATGCACTAGAGAGCGCTTGAGGCTCTGGTCTCGGAACTGCAGGCTCAATACCCGCTCCACGTGGGTTTCGGTGGTTCGGACGCTGCTCAGGGCCAGGCTCAGGGCACCATGCACCATGGGCTGGCCCCTCTCAGTGGGGAAGTAGCGTGCTACCTTTTGCTGAGGGACAGGTAAGTTGGGACAGTTGGGTGTCTTCCAAGGTCACCTGTCAACTACCCCAACACTATCATTGGGGATACCCACTCACCTTCTCCATCTCAGCCTCAGACACCAGCATGACAATGACTGACACTTTCTGCTCATGTACCATAAGCCAGAAGTCAGCAGCGGTGCCAGGCAGTGGGGCCTGAGTGGCCACTAAGGGTGGGCAGTATGGAGAGAGCCCCTCCACGCAGCTAGCATTGATGTAGTCATCCTTGCCTGAGCGCAGAACCACACGGTTACTGTCATAGGGCATGACGTCCTGGTGTCGGTTCTTCAGGGAGTAGCAGCGAGCTATGGCAATGGAACGGCCTCGGGCATCCTGTTCCTGGGCATCTTGCAGCTCCCGCCAGATGGTGTCCAGAGCCCCTATGTCCCCAAGCTGGCCCCGAAAGACCTCCAGCTCCTCCTGCAACTGCCGCAACCTCTCAGGATGCTCGTAGGGGTCCTGCTCGATCAGCCGCAGGGCCTGTGGCCGACGGCCCTCAGCTGCGTCCACCTTGGTAGGCTGCAGCAAGGGCTGCCCACCCCCAGGAGGCTGTGTGCTGCCATGCTGGCTCTCAGGACTAGAGGAGAGTAGGTCTGCAGCTGCAGTACCTCGGCGTGAGCTCAGGGGTGGCTCTGCTGCTGGGGTCCGAGAGAGTACTGGGCCAGGCCCCGGTGACGGGGCAGGTGAAGGCACCAGGTGGGGACTAGGGTTGGGTTGGCCAACAGGTGAGGGGCCAGGAATGGAGAGAGGGGCTACCTGGGGACCCAGAGGCCTGGTAGACGTAGTAGTACCATATGCCAAGGTGGAATGGGGAGGCTGAGGGCGTCCAGGACTGGGGAAAGGCAGAGCTCCTGAATGGGGGGGCAGAGGGTCTTGGGAGGGGCCTGGGTAGAGCTGGGTGTGCAGGGGTGGCGGCTGCCCCAGGACACCAGGCTGAGGAGCAAAGGGGTAGGTGGGCTGTGGGGGTAGGAGACCTGGGGCCTGGGGTGGGAAAAGGTGTGGATGCTGGAGTTGGGGGACCTGAGACCCAAGTGCTGCTTGTGAAGGATGGGGATGGGGCCCTATCCTTGGGACTGGAAAACCTGTGGGGATCCCAGGAGAAAAGTGATGCTGGGCTGGGGGCGCTATGAGAGGTTGCTTGGCCCCTATAGGGTAGGAGTAGGGTGTGGGCAGGGGCTGTGGTGGAGGCACTGGGAAGCAGGGCTGGGGAGGAGCAGGGCTAGGGTTTGGCCGTGGTGCTGTGTGGCTGGAGATGGGGGCCTGGACACTGTCTACTGTGGTGGTGGCTGGCCGAACTGCCACAGCCAACTCAGGGCCTGAGAATTGAGGAGGTGGGGCTGAGGGCAGACCTGCAACTGGTGGAGGTGGCCCTACCCCCCCATAGGGGCTGCTTACCACACCATGCTGCGGGGAGGATCGGGGCACAAGGCCCAACTCTGGTGTATAGGCAGAGGCTGGGTAGAGGGCAGACCCAGGTGCCACTGGCATTGTGGGAGGTCCTGGGGCCCTGGGCTGCATCATCTGGCTGGGGCCTGAGTAGGCTCCAGGGGGTAAGGGGCCTGACAGGTAGTGGGGTCCTGGGCCAGGAGGAAAGTGGAGTGGGGTCACAGTTCCCAGGAAAGTGTCAGGTGGTCGTGGGCCAGACACCAGGTCAGGGGGCAGGCTGCGCAGCTCCTCAGGGGGGTCTCCTATCTCTGTCTCCCCTTCCTCCCTTCGGGCCAGCAGTGGTTTGGGGGCCGTGGGCCGTGGTGGTGGCTTCTTCTTCAGCTCCCTGTGGGGCAAGCAGAGAAGTGGGGTCAGACCCCCTCCATCAGCCCAGCTGGTTTGGGCTGGAGCCCAGGGACCACACCCACCTGTCCAAGAACTGCTGGCGGGCAGCCTCACGAGCCTGGCAGGTGGACTGTACCCGTTCCAGCAGAGCGGCCACCTTGCTCTCCAAGTCTGCATAAAAGTCCTTGCCCTCCTGGGATTTCTTCATCAAGTCTTCATAGGCTTCATATGAAGCTACCAGTGTCTGTAACGTGGAGTTCCACCTGGTGGGCAGAAGGGCCAGGATGAAGAAAGCCATGGGAGCAGGTCTCTAGGCAGGGCTCTGGGCAAGAACACAGGAGTGGGCACTGACTTTTGGTCCAGGTCACTTAGCACGCGTCGCACAGCCGCATACTGTACATTAGCCTCTGTCAATGCACGGAGCACATTGTCTTGGGCAGCCAAGTTCTGTTCCAGGTATACCCTCAGCTGGTCATACTTCTTCAGCTGTTCCTCAAAGAGCTTCTGAGGGAGTATGTTAGAGATAGGGACACTCAGGTTCTCACCACCTCAGGGTGAAGCTCAGAGCCCGAGCCCCTCCACCCAGCTCCCCTAGCCCACCTTCATCTCTGAGTGGTCTGTAGTAACCAGTGAGGCAGTGATATCATCCTTCTGGATAAGCTCACGCAGCTGCTGCTCCAGGGACACACGCTGGTCCCGCATCTCCTGCACCTTCGCCAGGATGCGCTTCAGGTTCTGCAGCACAGCCTTATCCTCTGGGGGCAGGAGTGGTCAGTGAGACCAGAGAAACCCTCAGCTTGAGTCTGTCCCCATGGGGTCAAGTGAGTGGGGCTTACCTGGGGTAAGGGCTGGTGTGGGCAGGGCAGCCCGGACCTGGTCTAGTGGCCCACTGAGCAGCCGTAGGTTGCCCACATGCAGATTCATGGCACGGTGCAGCTCACTGTTGGTGAAGGAGGCCTTCTCATGGACTTCCATGTATTTGGCCCATTCTCGCCTCACCTCTGCCAGTTCAGCCTTGGAGACAGCCAGGCTGGCCCCTGCCTGGCCCACTGCTTCCTGAAACTTCTGTTCTAGCAGTTCATCCTCCTCCAGCAGGTCCCTAATGTCCTTTAAGGAGGCCTCCACATCCGTGAACACACCAGACAGCACTGGGGAGGGGGGGTTGTGGGAACATCCCTGAGGCAGGCAGATCAGGCCCCCACTCTAGCCCACCCC